CCCTCTCCTTTTTCGCTCGTTCTTCTCTTGGTATGCGGCCAACACCAGCTTCTCCTCGACTGACGTTGATACGCGAGTTTTTCTTATTTCGCGACGCGATCCTCGATGAAGACGGCGAGGCTGTGGCCCGATACCAGGAATCGGGACGTCTTTAACGAGGAAAAAGACATCTCCTTCTATAGCATAGGAAACGGGAAGCCGCGTAAGGCGATGGCAAACGACGAGCACCACGACGAGGTAGGGACGGACTTGCCTATAAGGAGGCAAAGAGGAGATGGCAGACGCCCGCTCGTCTAGACTCGCTTCGACTCGACTCAACTCTCAACTCTCTGCAGTCACTCGATAAAAAACAGTCCGCCGCTTTCCTGGCCGTCCGATGCATTGGCGTACAACGTTGGGGGTTTCTTTCCTTTCTTCTTCGTGTTCGTGCGCCACCCTACGTTACGTTTCAACCCTACCCGATCGAACAGCGTCTTCTCCAATGCGGCTCCTCTTCCCGCTTCCCTACTTCCCTTTCCAACGCTCCAACTTTACTATTCGATTGTCATCACCTGCTGTTTACGGTAGGTAGTGTAGTTGAACGCATCTCTATTGGAAATGGAGATTTCAAAGTTTGCGTCCATCACCAAGACCACCGTGTTACCAAGAAACGAAAGAATAATTTCTAATTTCTAATTTAAATAATGACCAAGTAATACAAAGATATCCCCCGAAAGAAGAAAGAAGAACACCTGACCGGAATACAAACGAATTTCATCGAATATCGATAGCGATAAGGAAGGGGAAGAATGCATGAATTATGGAAATACGGTGACAATTACGGTGGTGCGTGCGTTTCCAGTCTAATCGGAAACCCGGGTTCACCCGTCGTCCAACAGGGACTGTCAGATGGGAATCGAATTCACAAGGCGCAGACGGGCGGCAGGGCAGCCCACGCGCCGTCGTTGCGACATCCTTTTTTGCCTCACGCACGTAATCAGAACACGTGCGCAGCCGGCCGGTCGTCATCATCGATGCAGGTGCACCGATGGGCGAACGGTGCGCGTTTGCGAGCGGACGCCGTCGCGTACACCGTGACCTTTCCCGAAAGCCCATCCCGTCCACGATCGCGCCAGCTGCACTCGCTGTCTGGCCTCTGGTCTGGCTCGATCTGCCACCATTGGTCGTCGACGTCGATCCGTTTCCCAGCTCTCGACGCCAATGCAGAAATTACCCCCTGCGACCCCCTGGACCGTCTGAGCGGTGTCTAGCCATCGCCCCCTACCTCGAACCGTCGGAGCCCTCGCCCCCGCTGCGCCCTACCTCTCTCTCTCTCTCTCTCTTCACCTCCCTTCTCTCTGCTCTCCCTCTCTCTTCTTCCTTCCTTTTCCTGCTGCTCTCCCTCTTGCGCCACCGACTGCCCCACCCATCCTCCCTTACCCGTCTCCACTGCTCCTACCCCCGTTCCACGATCTCCGTCGACCTTCTCTCCCCGGTTGGCGGGGGTGCAGTCTAGCCAGCGACTATAGTCTTCGCATCGCGGAATGGTATGCCGTGTAGCGGGGCCCAGGTCGACGCAATGCATCGTACGATCGCGACGGAGTATAGGAACGGCGGCCGAAAACCCATCGACGAGACGTTTGTTGTTGGATCGAGGAGAGGAAAATTTTCGCCTTTTCTCTCTTATGCGTGGTGCGTGGTGGATGCCCTTTCTCGGCTTACATCTCCTGGCTGGTGGAGTGCGGTGGAGTGAAGCGGTGACGGACGATTGGCGGCCGCGCCGTTAAAACCCACGATCGCTCGTCGATCATGGATATCAAGTTCGCGCTTCCCGCTTGGAGAACGTGCGTACGTACGATTCGGTTCCGACTTTCGACACGACACTTTGATGCAGACGGGGGTGGGCGGGGTATTCGGGAAGGCGAGAAACAGCCCCTCGATCTTTTCGGCATATAGGGTGGCATGTATATGGAGGGTGAGACCGTTGCTGTTCGAGTCGCAAGGGTTATGATTATGGGTTATGATTACGAGGAGTCGATGTTCCGACGATCGTAGATAGTAGTGAATGTTAAAAGGATAAGGGGTTGAAAGAGATTGTGGCTCGAATCGATAATAGTATTTAGATATTTATTAAATTTGGTATATTTAAAAAAAAAAAAAGAGATATATTCGATCTATTTAAAACTGAATGTTGAAATGACAAAAAAAAAAAAAAAAAGAAAAAGAATGAAGAAACTCGATATATACATACCGTCATTAAAGATTTACCAAAGAACTACATAGGGGAAGCAAAGTTACAAAGCAAACTCGAGTAATATGCCACGTAACGGACCTACGCAACGAATCGAAGTTGTTCAACCGAGAATCCTGATGGTTCGCACGTTGTGAACTACGTGGAAATACGTGCGTCTTGCAAATGCACAAAGATAATGGGTTGCGTACACAGGGTATGCGATACAATGACGAACACTGTGTTCCAAATGACTGGCGTAAATAATTCTTTCTGTTCGATGCGTTCGAGTGATCACGAGTGGTGAATTCCGAGGGGATCGAAGAACGCGCACAAAAAGCCTCCCTAGCACTTTCCAGACGCCCCCTCTTCCTCGCGTGACTCAAGACGATTAGGTCTGGCTTGGGAGCGCAAGAGTTTAGTCTCGGTTTGATTGGGGTAGGTCCCAAACGTATAGTCGACGACGTAATAAGCCAGCAGCCACCACGGAGGACATGCTACCAACGTGGCAAGGTCAGTGATGGGGAACCTACGTTAATTAACGTCTTGCCATTAAACCGTTTCGATAGGTCTCTCGAGATCGAACCCCGATAATCATCATCATAAAGCAACGATAGAACGGAGCAATGGTCAAACTCCTTTGGGAAGATCATAATTTTACACGAGGCTGCCTCGTTATATGTATGTAATATCTTATGCTATTAGTGTCATCGCGTAGACGATGAGTAATTGTTTGACACAGTTGGCTAAATGTCAAACGATATTGGAAACAGTTCAACCTTGTGCTAATTCCCTATCGATCCGTCTCGTCGTTTGACTTTTAATCCCTCATATATAGCGGGATGATTAAAGTTCTTCGAATTCTTAGCGGAAGTTCTTAGCGGAAATAAATTATTCATCGAATATCGAATATATTAACGAAACGATATTATTACGCGATAACGATTAAAAATCCATATACGATTGTAAATCCATATCGATAGATTTTCGTATTGAGCTTTCACTGGATATATGGTTGGAACTGCTGTATGGTTCCAACAATGCCGAACCAGATGGTTGTCGTAGGTTAGTAATCGATAAACTTATTTTTCCCTGCGCACGATGCAGCGACAACAAGTCGGAATATTGCTAGTCCTATTATAGTCCCCAGCTGTACATTTCATCGTCTCGCACGAGTGGTGTTATCAAGAAAATCGTTTTGTTGCGTATATTGTGGCGAAAGACCAATGGAGTGAAAGCGAAAAAGGGAGCACGGGTCGTTCGCGAACGAACGAGTTATTGAAAAGCGTGAAAAAAAAACGCGTGTATAGACAGAGCGCAGGAAATGCAACGAGAGAAACTTTGCAACGTGTACACGAGTGTTACGAGTGTGTCGACTACAGGATGTCGTCCTCGTACGAAAAATGAATCGAGAACGTAAAACATCGTGTCTTTTATATATATATATGCAACGACGTACCATGTGATCTAATGATTTGTGATTTTCTTTTTTTTTTCTTTTCGATTTTTCTTGTTCTGAAAATCCTCGTACTTCCTACTTACGTGACTGCTACGCTCGTATATGATATAACTTTCACGTGCACGCTGAGCGTCGCATCCATGGAAACGTGAGCATGCGTATCCATCGTGAGTAGTAGCCGTGGTGCACGCGCGTCCCGGACGTATCGGAGCGTGAGTATGAACAAGCGGACGAAAACACGCCGTTGCCAGAAATAACCGAGTATGAGTCAACTGTAGAGTCTAAATAGGAGGTTGGCCACATTTAGAGCTCGTCGTGTCTAGATTATACGTGATTTACACATCAAATAACCCAGAAAATCCAGATTATCGAAAGAGTTCGATCCGATACGGAAGCGAGAGATCTGCCAAATCGAATGCGACTTCGGGAGTAAAAGGTCGCGTTAACTTCACGCTATCGGTATGCATCTTTTGGCGCGGGTTGCATCGATCGTTCGCGGAAAGGATCGACGCCGTCTGCAGAAAGGAAAAAGTTAACAGGAATGTTTTATTCATCTGTTAATTGACAATTAAGATACATCTCGTACCACATCAAAGGTGTAAAATCAAGTAGGTGCCTTGAAGTATTCGTGCAATTTAATTTTCATCCTTATCGTTCGCTTGTTAAAACGTGCGGGTTTCTTCTGATTCTCAAGGGTTTCGCTTGATTTTGTAAAAAGCATAATAAATATGTACAAAGAAGTGTATGCGAGGAATAGGAGAGAGGGAGAGGATAGTAAAGCGGGATAAAAGCTATCGTTGTCTGCACTTGTAATTCAAATTTTCTCTTCCAGGATGCAAGATGTTTCTGCATAGTGAAACGACACAGAGAGGAGATTGTAATTAACTGGTTCCGGTGTGCATGAGAATCGTTCTTAAAACCCGTGAAGAGACAAAAAAAAAAAGAAGAAGAGAGAGCAAGAGAGAGAAAAGAGGATAGAGCAAGGTGCTTATTCATCTTTGTAAAACTGTTTACGCATGAAAGTATTTTCACAAGTAGGTAACACTTCGCTTAACCGAAAAAAAAAAAAAAAAAAAGAAAGAAAAGAAATAAAGTCGTTGGCATTAAATGCTGCATGAAAGCGAAACATGTATGCGAGGCTGAGATTTTTCATGGACACGTTTTGATTCCGCCACTCAGAGATTAACCTATCTCTTACGTATTGCGTGAATATAAATATATATACACGGTGACGCACGACACACGCACAACCCTTACAAGCTGACCGGCACGTGTCGAGACAAGGCGGTTAGTTGAATGCAAGATAGAAAGATAGACGGAAAAGAGAGACAGAGAAGCGGAGAATAAAGGGCTGAGGCGTGGGGGTTAGAATTATACATGCCCCGAGGAAAACTCAATTCGCGGCCACTTTGACGCACCCTCCATCTGGATGGATCGTTGGACGCGTTGATACAAATCCACAAGATATATTCCTTCTTCTTCCTTCTACTCTTTACTCTATCAGTCTACTTCTCCTTTTCTCTCTTCCCGGCGCATAGTCGTAGTGAGTTTATCTCCTGCTTTCTATCCCATATACACCAGTGCCTGCACGTGCAGATACTCATTCGTACACACCGACAGACCCGCAGACACGTGCATGGACCGGCAACAATTCCTAACCAAAAAGCCGGAGTCACCCTCGCCTCCCCCCCTCTCACCCCTCGCACGGGAGTGTCTGGCTGCGACCGTCATCGGCGGGGCATCGAGATGCGGGGAAGAAGAAGAGGGGAAAACACCCGGCACAGTGGCGAGCGGCAAGAGAGGAGTGGGAACACAGACCGACAGTGGCTCAGGGGGGAGGCTACGTACTCGTGACGTTGCGTCTAGACGCCCCCTCCACCTCACCCGAAACGACGTCCACACAACGAGCGCCGAGCCAGCGCCGAGGAAACGCTCGGCTTTCTCCGCCCCTCGTGTACGTAAATTGCCGAATACCGAAGTGAGCGTTTCGTTCTCGCGACGCTAGATGTCGTTGCTGTTGGCTGAATCAAGCCTCGCGACCGCGGATTTTCAAAGTGCGCGGGCTTTGCGCATATATTTGTCCAACGAAGAAGCAAAGCAAAAGTTTTTTTTTATTTATCGAAGATTTTCATTTTCGTTATTATCGTTTATGTTAACAATGATCGTCGGTCGGTTCGCGAGATGAAGCGTTGATTCTATTCAATTGCAATGGAATACTACGGGCCAAGACAGGTAAGGTTGCAATTTTCTTTTTTTTATCTCCATCGTATTATCTTTGCATACATTAACGCCGAGTCTTTGATACTAGCGAGCGCAACATTTTGGCCTTATCGATATCATCGGGTTAATTTTATTATTCCTATCGTGATTCATGATTCACCGCAGAGCAAACAGTGCGTACACGCGTTTATCGGGGATCACGGTTCGCAAGTCAAGAAAGGTTAGGCGGGATTTAAGAGCGGTGTATCCTTAAGTTTGCGTTCTTACGCATGCGTTTAAATTAGGAATGGCATTTAAGGCCATTCGTGAACTTTATTATCGTTTAATCGCGACGGCGAACGTACACGTACACACTCTTTTAATCACGTGCACCCGCGCATACGTATATACTCGTGCAGAGAGACACGAGAGAGTAGATGTGCATCGTTGAATTTTTATGGACTGAGGGGAGCGATGCGAGACAGACGTTTCATGGCCTTGAAGATCCGCGGCCAACGATAGGGGCACAGTTCTTTTGTGGAAAATAATTTTAGTCGTGAACCGTCGTTTCCACCAGTGAACGCGCAAGCTAATTAAATTTCTACGGATCGTATACTATGTTTGACGCGGGAAACCTGATTTCTAAATACCCCTTTATACCTATAACATTGAATTTCACGATAGAAATTTAAAGAGGCAGTCAATTGAGACATTAAAGAATCTATTTTCCATTAATTGGCAAAGTAAAAGTAAAAGTAAATAACGTACGACTTAATTGAGCTTCAAATTAAATAGATCAATGTTTTTTCTACACTAAATTATCAATTGATAATATTGATGAATTGACGGTGATAATAATAATAATAATAATAATACAGTATACTACTGTGATTATATACGAAATTTTAATTGAGAAAATTCAACGATATGCAAAGTTATTATTCTCATTTATTTCATAAAAGAAATAGTAGATAGCAATAGTAGATAACGTTTCGAAAGATCGTTATAATACGTAATATTGAAATATATTAAATTATAAAAGTATATTACGAGAAAGAACGATGTAGAATTTATATTCGAAATTGATCGTAAGTCGTAAATCTAAAGCATTACATTTACATTACATTATGCATTATATCTACATACATCAATTTTTCTCATCACTCATAAGATAATATATGGTCATACGCGAGATTGCACTTTGCATAGGAAGAGATTCATCATCTCTTAAAAAAATATGGTTATGGGGAAAAACATTTTCCACCATCGTCGCTTAAAAAAAGAATTATACCTCATCTCATTTTCCTCATAACGTTCAACGAGGTAATAAATACAGCGAGGAACAATAATAACGATAATAATCAACGATATTTTAAGAAAATATACCAGAAGAAATTATAATATTCTTAGAGAATATTTCCTAGAAGAAGATATATTTATTTTTCGTATATATCTTAAACATTTCACAACTCTTAACCTTTTCATTTTAAATATGAGACTAGTAAAGAATATTCTTTATTACGTCTTTACGCCTCGAATTGAAAGTACATTCAGTCGTATGTAACACGTGTGCAACGAAATCAAAAGAAAAAGCGAGTCGCCGACTACCGTGAAAATTATTCAACCCGTTGATTGGCGCACGTCGGTTCCTGCATTCCTTCGTTCACGTGTACGGCGAAGGCGGTCGCGCAAATAAAGAGTCGGACTCGCCTTCTGTCGGCGACAATGGTAATAACAATTGAATCCGCGGCGAGCGGTAACTGCACGTGTTTATGACGATCTCGGTTTACGCTTGTAAAGAGTGGTTGGCCTCTAAAGGCCGAGGCATCCGACCGACCCTTGCCTCCTCGCTTTGCTTTCATAAATAAGACGAGGCCGATTTCTCCGCTCTTTTCCTTTAATCCCTATTTTTTTTTTTTTTAATCTTCATATTTTTCTTTTGTTTTTTTTCTTTCTTAAATTTATATCCAATTCAAAAAATCAATATCAATTTTGATTCAATTTTATCTCGGAATAAAGTTTAGTATTACATCAACTTCGATTTTTTCGAATATTTTCATATCATTTCGAGATATAATATTACACAATGAATGAAGCATGAAGCATTATATAGAAAGATATAATTTTTTTAAGGCAATTGTAAAATTTGCAAAATTATTCTATAATAATACCTAATTATTAGTGAAATAACGAACTGTTTGCAAGATAAGATGTATATTATAGACATCTTATCTTGCAAACAGTTTTTACAATTTCATTTGCTTTCTTATCAAATAATACCAATTAAAATTTTCAAGTTATTATTATCAAATTTCATACGTTTCGTAAGTTTCATCATTCAAATTTCGTCGCTCGAAATTCGCTGCTCCACGAAAGAAAAAAATTTAGTTTCTATATCTACTTCGCATTTCCAATTATAAAGAAATTATTGTCATATAAATTATAATATCATTCTCTCGACCATATAATTTTCGTAACAAGTACTTTCGCTCGATTCGATCGTTCAAAATCGATTCAAAATCGATTTATGAGGATTTTTGCGATTAAAGGTACGCGTAAGCGAAGGGCTGCGTTCATCGCAAACAAGAACTTACGCAAGCGAACTCGCTTGAAATGTGGGCTCCTGCAGCAAGTACGAGGGAAACTATTTAAAGGTCACGCATATATTTCGCGGCGGCGGTGCAGCTGCACGAGCCGACCACGTAAAAATATGCGAGCGTTTGCTCACGCGCCTGTTTCGCGCCATCGAAACGTTCCAGTTCGTGTGTATTGTCTCTGTTTGTCGTTGTTCGTACCTGTGCTAGCCCAATTGGTGCACAAATTGTATCTATTCGATTATGTAAAATTTTACGACATTATAGGGAACAACCAAGAGTTAAGAGTTTAAAGTACGCGTTATCACTTACTAATACAATTTATAAATTGTAGCGTGATCGTAACAATTACTTTTTCAAAATTTCGTCAAAATATTCTATCAATATATCTCCTTAATTTCCAATTTTTTATTATAAATGTTAGAATCGTTGTAATATTTTTGCACTAGGATTGTATTCAGTTCTTTTCAATATTTTCTTTTTTTTTTCTTCTTTTTTTTAAGCTTCGTGATCGTTTATTGGAAGATACATGTTTTGGAATAATCTTACGAAGTACAGACTTAGTTTGAAATTTTCATTCAACTTTTTCAATTCAATAATATCCTTTATCACTATATATATTCGAATTCCTATTTTCTATTGTACGGGAAATTATAAAAATTGCAACGCAATAGAATCTCACGTATTTTATGTATTAAAATAAAATTATATAATTAGTGTACTTAATAATTGAACTCTTGCATCTGCAATATCTACATTTCTATCATTCTAACGAAACTAATTTTAAATAGTGGTGAATAACATGAATTTTATATATTGAAAATAAGGATAGATTCAATTCTATTGCATGCCATTTTTAAATTCTCTTTATATTAATTACAGCAAAATTCTTCAAATTATTTCGAGTTGCAATTTCTTTTATAATCTCCATGAAGTTATTTCACATTTGTAAAAAAAAAAACCTTGGTCGATAGAATATTTTAAGGAATAACTTTTTATAAAAATAATTAATGAAAATTAAGGAAGGAAAGCAAAAATACGAGGGTCATCAACGGGTAGAGAAATCTACGATTGACTGACAGGAAAGCCTAAGAATATTCTAAATCCAACGCTGGTGTTCCGTCTCCTTTTGATTTCTCTTCGTTATTAGGGGTTCCATTTCATGGCATGGAGGATTCTTTGATTGTTTTTCTCTTATTCGTTGTTTTATTCCCCATTTTAGAGAGTAGGGCATCTCGAGGGTCCTTGAAAATTATCTTCTCCTTCCGTACTTTCATTTTTTTTTTTGATTTTCTTATTATTTCTTATTTCTTTTATGTGTTTTTCTTTTTTTTGTTTTTTTGCATTTTCCACAAAGGGCAGTGGTTTTACCACGAGACAATATTTTTGGTGTTCTCACACCTTTCCACAAATTCTTCGATCTTTAATTCGTCGTCATTATCGTACGTAATTTATGGTCTTACGTATGGACACTACCTACTAAAACTTTAAAATTTACACACAAACTCTCTTCCTTTTTCTTTTCTTCGTAATTCTCCAATAATTCCATTTC